TTAACATTTTTGTGTAATTTTCTTTGAAAAAAAGGTAGGATTTTTATCAGAGCCTTAAAACAAACAAAGCCCTTATTACAAAGTGCTTTTTTGTTTTATTTCAATCTCTTTATTGAATTCCTCCATGGTTCCCGGCTGTGCTTATCTCTCCCTTACTTTTTTCTTTTTTTTGTCTTCATTCATCTCTTGCAGAACAAGCCTTGGCTGAACCTTGCTAACGAAGTCCAGAGCTCCTGTCATTCTGTGCTGCTGCAGAAGAGGCTGATAAGTCAGAAAGTGTGACAGGAGGAAAACATGTTGCTCTTCTGCAGCCCTCTCACTCTGTTTACCCACTTCCTCATTCCTCTGCTGATCCCATGTGATGCAGATATCAAGGGCCAGTGTTTGGTGTTCAGAGGAAAACAAGAACGTCTGATCTGGCCAGTTAGAGCCAAAATATGCGGGAACTGGGGTCATCGCTCGTTTCTTTCTGCTGGGATTCCAGTCGTGTTTTGTGGAAGAGGCTGTTTCCCTTGGCTGTCGAGAGATTCATAAACAGCACCGCTGTGCGGTGTGGGGATTTAGATGGCGTTTCCATCTGAACCTTTCAGTCAGACATGATAACAATCCATTGACAGGCTTATAGTTTAGACCAACTATTTCAGATGTGCAAAAGACTAAAATATCCCAATAAAAGACTAAAAGTCATAAAGTTAAGTAAAACAGCAACAACTATAAAATAGGATGATGCCACAGGGACAATCCAGGTTTGGAACACTTTAGAGTAATTTCAACATTTTTATTTGAACCCTTCCAAATTAACTTTGTTTACCAAACACTGCTCAAATTCTGTTAGCAACATACAAAATTCATTAACACCTTTTTAATTGTGTGATCCTGCAAATGCAAATGATTTTGGAGCCACTTTAGACATGTGTGAGGTCATAAACTCTTCATTTAAAACACATATATGGATGATTTGGATCAGTTCAATAAAGCGTCTTTCAGCATCTATAGAGACGCATACATCAACACTGGCTGGAGCTGACTCTCCCATCCCAGGGGATCTGCTATACAGTAGGATAGATTTGGAAAAAAAAAGTCAGAGGAAGTATCACTGTGTCCTTCCTTCCTGACTCCATCTGAGCCAACTCTAAAGCCTGAAATTAATGTAACCATTAAGACAGATTAATAAGCTAAACGCTTCAGTTTGGGAAACATCTGGTGTGAATTAAAAGGTGAATGACCCAGATGCCCTTTTATTTCTATCTTCCTGTGCTCTCTGTATTTTCATACACAAAAGTTGAGTTTCAGTTTCCTAAAGTGAAATATTTATAAGCTAAAATCACATAAACAAAAACAAAAAAAAAAGAACCGGCTGTTCAAACTGAGAAATATAATGTGTTACTGATCTTATTGCTGTGCTTGAAACCTTTTAGGAGAGGATAATTAAATTTCATTACCCCCACCACCACCCCTAACTACTTTGACTAATAGACGGAGGCTGAATCCATCGGTTAGTCTCTGTAAACACAAACACACAGAGAGCAGCCACTGGATCTGTTAGCTGTTCTGTTCTTTAAACTAACACTTAGTTTTTATCCTTGGTAGTTTCTCTGATTGTTGATTCAAAATGACACATTAATTAATCAGACAGTAACAACACAAAGGCAAATGTGGACAAAAAGGTATAAACAGACCTTTACTTGATACCAAATGTCTTAACTTTATTCCTTGAATTATGAAAAGTGAAGCACTTAAGTTACTTTCAAGTCATTTTTGCTGACAATGCATTTCTAGATTCCTACTAATAAGCTAAAAAAAACCCTGAAAGACAAGAAAAGGAAATAGTCCGTGATCATTATTATTAACTATTAATTATTAACTATTGAATGTCTACGATTATCAACATTATCGAGAAACTCTAATATATAGCTGTAATATCAGCTCATGCAATCCACTGGATCTCCCAATAAAGCTCAGCATACAATCTCACTAACCAGCAGTCTACAGACTGACCAACTTCATCTATCTCCACTCCACCACCAGTTTCAGGCCTGGGGGGAAGCAGCCCTATTCTTTGCTCCTGGTCATGCATATCTATCAAAATTCAGCGCTATGTTTCCTGCCGAGGTCTGAGTGCCAAAGACAAAGTAATTGTATCAATACATTTCTTCTAATGTCCTTTCTCTTCGTGTGAGTTTTTAAGATTGAAATGGAATAAAATGTTTAGACTCTAGGAGACATCTCATTCTAACAAAACGGGTGCAATACAGGGTGTCTGAGTGGCATATTATGACATCATAGGAACATCCACAAAATCCATCTTGAAGATAATGCTGTGGTTGATTGCTAGGTTGGACCCATTTAACATGGATGTGTTTGATGTCCCATTCGCAGAAAACTCTCGACCTGAAGTACATTAAAGAAAATAGGCTACAGGCTCATAGATGCATCAGTGCTGAACTACTGAGGTGTCAGTCTGTTCATCAAATGATGTTTTAATCATTAGGGGTCAAATAAAAAGACTTTTTTAAAGATTTTTTTGTAAAAACACAAATAATGTCTCTTTAAAGAAGATATTATGACACCAATTTAGACAAGATGCCAGAATTAGAGATAATAAAATGTGAATAAGACCAGTAACTATACTTTTACCTTAATTTGGTGAAAGCTGATATTTTGCTCACAAGATAATTTTTATGGTTTATACTTTAACTATTTCTGCATTAATAACCTAAACATTTACGCCCAATTTCTCAATGAAATATAACAAAATATGCGAACGTTAGTTTGTTTTAAAATGTCTAATGATAAACTATATACATAGCATACTATACTGTATTTTGACTGCCTTTTATATGAAATAATGTGTGGAGACCTTAAAACTCCCAAAAAAATTGGCACAATAAATAACCAGTAGGAAGGAGCACAGCCCTTAAAGCCAGAGCACTCTGGCAATACATGAAACAGAGACTTTGCTTCATAAATGGCTCCATGTGAAATGTAAGTGGGAAGTGAGGCAATAAAAAGTTTGAAAATGACAGCAGGCTTTTTAATGCCTCTAGAAAGCAAAGAAGTTATTGTCTAAGTTATGATTTAAAGGAGGAAGCTGAGTGTCGGGGAACAGAATGAGAGGATTGCTGCTGGGAATCAGGGAGCCAAAGGTGAGCAGAGGCGGTGAGGTTTAATATATAAAGAAAAAACCCAAACATGAGCATATTGTTTCTCCAGACCTCTCAGCACATTACCGGATTTGTTCAACATAATCTGTTCTCTGGACACCTCATAGAGATTCAGGCAGACAGGCTGCTTATTTAACATCCACTCTCAGCAGTAATATAAGGCCTAATGTTACTGACTTAAGATCAAATAAGTTTGATCAACTGATTCTTTTCCTCCAGACACATAAAAACCATCATATTCTACATTAGATCATGTAAAAGGTGTAAGGGGCCTTCTCTGTAGCTCCAGCAAGATGGTTCATATATAAAAAGCTGTGATATATATAACAATCCTTAGTGTTTAGATTTCTAGTGCTGTGTACCTCTTGGTTTTTAAACTTTTTTTCCTGCAAAAGTCACAAACTTTGATGTATTTTATTAGGATTTTGTGTTTTAGGTGAAAGCAAAGTTACAGAATTATGGAGAGAAAGGAATAAAGTGCTGTCCAAAGCTTTGTCTATTAATAGAGTACTGTTTAATCTTTCCTCTGGAAATGGAAAATATTGAATAAAAAAAAAACACGTGAGTGAAGGTGTTTTCTGTTCAGATTAAAAAGCATTTGAACTTCAACAATTTTTCTGTTTCTATTCCAAAAAAGTGTAATAATCTGCCAATGCAGAAAGACAATATCTTTTGGTAAGACATCTTAGAATCATGATTTATTTTTCCTCTCAAAACAAGAATATTCTGCTTTTTGAGTAGATGTGGTGAAAAGACAATTAATAATCTAGAGGGATCACTCTTGCTTAGTAAATAAATCTTAAAACACGATCAAAGAGACATTTTGGCTAGATCTAAGATCAAGCTGTATGCCATTTCTCATCAGTGCCACAGAAACTTATCAGAATTGATGTGAAGATGAATGAAGGTAAATTCTGGACAATCCTGGGAAAAATGAGCTGAGGTTCAGCTAATAATGGAAGCCTACACTGTAAAAATCACAATGTCACTTTAACACCTACAGAGTTGAAAATAACTGTTTCAGTAAAATTTTGTTTAATCTACTCTATAACCACTATGAATTTAGAAGTTGATTTTAGTCATTTTACTGTCAAAAGTTAAGACCTCTGAGAGACTGGCCGGTAATCAACACTGTATAGAGTAAAAGTTACACTGCTTGGTTGTCTAATTTTTCACTGAATATTAACTCCAACACCAGAGCAGATTTACACTCAGTATAGGTGTAAATACTCTATTTAGAGTAAAATAGGTTTACTATGGATTTTTAAAACCCAATTTTTTACTGTGCATTCATGTGTCACAATGGCCTAGTCAAAGTTCAGGCTTAAATCCAATTAAAAATCTCTAATCAATCGGCACAGGGCCTCTTTATCCACTCTGAAGGACCTTGAACTACTTTGCAATTACCTTTATTAAAGACACTTCGAAACACAGATGCTTCTCTGAGCCTCGGTGAAGTTGAATGCAAATTCACTTTTTAGATTTTAAAATATTAGGAAACAATTTTAAAGCTATGAACTACACCTTTTTTTATTAGTGGATTTATCAAACAAAATCCAAACAAAATACAGCAATATTTGTGGTTGCACTGTTACAAAATGGGAAGAAGCTGCAGTTTTGTAAATACTTTGGCAAATATTTATACACTAGCATAGCTAAGTAGGCTTAACAAAAGAAATACGGAGACATACTTTAAGGATTAAGATCAGAAATTATCCTTTTTTCCTTTATCTGTTCTCTCTAACAGCTAAAAATCAAATAAAAGAAACATGAATTGTTGGTACAGTATGAATGACTCCAGTAATGTTGCAGCCACAGACTGGGAGAATCACCCACCTGTACATTCGTGCTTCAGTCCCTTGCCGTAGTATCCTTTCTCACAGATGCAGTCGTACTGTCCGGTGTGAGTCCCACACTTACAGCTGGCCATCACGTCACAACAGTCCTTGCCCTCATCACACAGGGAGGAGCAGCGGGAAAGGTCCTCCTGGATGTAGCTCCCTGTAGGTAGGTCTGCCGAAGAAAACAAGCATTCATTTTGAGATAATTAGGGCTTATCGTATCATCGTTCAGTCAGACAAAACAAAATGAAAACCAGCTGGAAATTTTCGTTTGAAAAAACGACATTTTATTCTTATAATAGAAAACCATTTTACTGGCAAACACGCTGTGAAATTGCTTTATTATTATTAAGAAAAATATTATTGAATTTATCTAAATTACAGTTCCTGACAGGAAATAACCTCACTCTGAAGTCTAATTAGGCATGATTCAACCTCAGCAATACCCATATGTTGTAAAGGTTTTTTTTTTTTTTTTTTTTTTCTCAGAACAGGGCATATTTTTCCCTATTAAAAAAAGTAAAAGTTGCTCCAAAGCAAATAGTTATCAGTCAAAGTTTTGGAAAATTAACAAGAGCTGCCTTTGCACTGTGGGCAGCTATATTAAGACGGTAATTTGGATTTTCACCTGGGCCAAAACTGTGATGTTTGCTTGTCCAAAAGCAAGAAAAAACACAAAATCTGAAGGAAAGGGTACTTGGAGTAAGATAAAAGCCGTCTGCTAATGTAGCAATAGACAATATCGTAGAGATTATAGTGTAACAAAGGACAATGAAAATGACAAATTGACTCTTATAACAAGACAAATTATCCAACACTTCTAAATCCAGGTCCTTTCTATTTTACAGTAAGTAGGAACTAAATAATTTGCAGCGTACTAAAATAAAAATGCAAACCTATTGATAAAAACCCCCGAAAAACACTAAAAAATAAAAAAAATTAAATTAAATGCAGAAATGCTCACACAGTAACAGTTTTCTAGATATTTTACAAATAATTAACCCTTTAAAGCCCGATCCAAGAATAAAACAAAACAGAAAATTACTTTTTTTTGGTTTGAATTCCTTATTTGCCCTTTTAAGTCAAGATTATTTTTTGTGTAGTCTTCTACTGGCTGTTATCAGGTATATCTGATTGTTTACAATAGGATTTTGAGCAAAGTTTTTACCATTAAATTATGCAAAAGGTGTCAGATGCAAAACATTTCAGAAATCGTATGTATCAAATATGATACATTTGGCATTACAGGGTTAAAATTAAAAGCTGCTTAAAATAAGGATGTCTATGAACTCTGATTTCTCCCAACCTTCATCGTTCTTTCTATCCCAAGCTTCCCTAATGGGTTTCCATCTGGAATTTCACTGTATGTAGACACATACTCCAACCTGCAAGCGCATGTGCATGATTTACCGTTCTGTCCAAGCCTTGTAAGGCCTCAGCTGGGCTGTTTAATAATGATAGCATGGGCCTTAAAACCCATGTAGAAACTCATTTCTAACCGCATCCAGGAAGTCCTTTCCAACTGTGAGAAATGGATTTTCTTTTTGATGAATGAAAATGAGCTCTGAGGGCCACGGGCAAAACTAAACAGAGGAAAATATCTGCAATATATATATGTTGTCAAACTGTGGATGAAATAGTATCCATTTTAAATAAGGACTGAATCTAACCATGGTTAAAAATGAGGCACATTGAAAAAAAAGACACTACTTTAGGTCAAAAGGTGATGGGAGAATTCAGGCTTCAAAGAAACCATTAGAGAGATATCAACCTCACTTCTGTTTGTTTTGTTTACTTTCTTTGGTGCAAAGTCCTCTAAAGCATAGACAATGGGCCCTGATAAAAGATTAAATCAATACTTTTTTGTTGCTGACAAAAGTAGACAGCAGTTTGCTTCCACTGCATTCAGTCAAAACATGTGAGATGAGATTTCCTCGCCACAATTCCCAGCAATCATATTTGGAAACATTCCTGTTAAAATAGTCTTTTGTTTACACTGTGGTTCAGAAACTTAGATGGACTCAGGAATCAGGCGATGACCAGAAACGGATGATTTCCTGCCTAGAGTCTTAAAATAATTCATCCTTTCTAGACTCTTGAACACACCACATGTAAGAACAGTTGGTCTGATGAGAAAACTCTGTATTAAGGAGGTTGTTCATAAATAAATAACTAAGATATTCTTAAATGTTCATAGGTGTTTAGAGTAAAGATAGAAACCACAGAGATTTAGGTGGTTTTAAAGGATAGACACAAGGATATATCTGTAGTTCATTAAGATTATATGAGAGAGCGGGACAGACAATAGATAACATGAAGGTTTAATGCATCAAAGTTAATCTACTTTTTAAATCTTTGCCTTTTATGGAATATGTTGAAATGTAAAACATTGCCAGTTTTTAGGTTTTTATATACATAATGCGAAACATGCTAATTTGTAAGCAAAGACGCTAAAATTTGCTTTTTATTCATTTTACATTTTACTTTAAACACTAGGACAAACATTTGACCGCCGGATATGACACCACCTCTGCTACTGAGGAGGAAAAGTAGAAAATAACATCATCAATAAATTCTCTTATATGCTCTTATACTGTAGCTGTAAAAGAAAAAATGAAAATAAGAAAGGGAAATGGATCTTGACACATAAAAATCACCTCTAACTTCCTGTTAAATTTACAATTGAACGTATTGGAAGTCCAGGGTTCGACATTTAACTGCTAAAAGCATAAAACACTTGGGAAAACAATCAAAATCTCACAGCTCATGGTGAGGCAACCCCTTCGATCAAAGACTGGTACTTGGTAACCTGAAACAACTGAGCGGTAGGGTGGTTCTAAAATTTTCCTCAGTTAAAAAAATTCATTGTTTTTGCCTTTAACAACATGACAAGTAACATTGCTTTTACAAGACATAAAAAAATTAGAGATTGAAATTTGAATATCTCTCAAAAAGAAGAAAGATTTTTTTTCTAAGGTTTCCCTACAGTATATCTTTTCATGGCAATTTCTTCTCAGAAGGGCCTTTCGGGCAGCAATTATTAGACCCTGAAGGGCTTGGTCTTTGGGAAAGACATTTCAGCAACGGAAGAGCATTTCATAATTGAAAATGGGATCCGATTTGTCTTTAAGGTGGGAAATGTGTTCACATCAAATTGAAAACATCAGTAGTTTCTGGATCACTCTTTCCTACCTTCATGTAGAGCGTGACGAGCCAGAGCCTCAAACTCAGCAAAGTTGTGGACCAGATAGCAGTGCTGGTCTTTGGGTTGTGAGGCCATGTCATGGAGCTCCCTGATGTTACCCTGCCAGATGCCCAGGGTGAAGATCTCAACGCCTCGCTCTCTCAGAGCTGCCGCCACTGGTCGTGGGTCCCCCCCGTTCGAGTAGCCGTCAGTGATGAGAAAGATTGCCTTGGTAGCATTCCCACGGGACTGACGGAGAATTTGCTGTAAGAGAAGTATATGTTTACTGATTAAGAAGATTAAATAACTTTCTTAATGTCAAGCCAAAGTTTATTGTTCGTTTGTGAGCCTCTATTCAACTTATCTCATGTTTGCCTGTTTTTAATTTAGTTGGGTTTACTTGCAAACTACATTCTTATAGCTTTCTTATGCATCAAATGATTGACTATTATGACTAACTCTTTATTTCTCATTGTGCCAAAAGATTTTAAAAGCGATATCGCTCTCTTGGGGAAAACAAAATCAACTGGCATGTTTGTCAAAGTTATGTCTTTATTAATGCAGTCCCTTACTGTCACTGTGTGTGTCAAAAGTTTTTACTGCTCGACCAGCGTCGCCCCGGCTTCAGTGACCTAACTAAATCGGATAAAAAGGAACGTCACACAAGACCACTAACAACAGCCCACATTTCTAGGGTTCCCAAAAAAAACTACATCAGCAACGGCAGTAAGCAAGGGAAGGATGGGAAGAGGGAATAGAAAACGAGAGCAAGCTCCTCCATTGTAATTATTTCTTCTACAGACTATGCAGCTGCTCGCCAGTGGTTTTAGACCACTGGTGAGTACTGAGTTTGCAGGCCAGGCTGCTGTACATGCCCCAGACGCCAACTAAAGTTTTTAAACTAACTTTACGATCCACCACATGCAATTAGAAAAAACATTAGTTAGGTATATAGATTTACTTTTTCTGAAGTATGAAAACAACATGACTTCCTGCTGGCATTACTCAAGAGAGCAAGCCAGAGGGTTTTAGGTTGCATTCAGCCTGTTTCCAGTGATATTAAGATGACATGTAGAGAAAGAACAGAGAATAATGGAGTGAAAGAGGAAAAAAAGTTGAGGCAATAAAGAAAAACAAATAGGAAGGGCAAAATGAGCCAAGATTAAGTCAGAAGGACAGAGATCCAATTAATGACATACTTAAACAGAATCAAACATGAAGGACCTTTTATTCTCCATCCAAGAAAGACACAATAGCTCCAAGTGACGGAATGCTAGAGCTGAACAGAGGGAAGACATGCAAGGGTGTGACCACAGACAGAACGAAAGAGGAGACAAGGCAGAGAAGGCTCTGGACTTTATTGTCTAACTGGCTACACTTGCAGCAGCTTTGGCAGGAGTACTATAATTAAAGAGCTTGTGAAGCAAGGAAAAAGAGAATGGAAAGAGAACAGACAAAAATCGGGGAGTTCCAGGTTGTCTGGTGCCCTGGCTGTCAGTCTGGAGATGCAGACTACACCCAACTTCAGCATGCTTCTACTGTCTTTGGTCCATTCTGTCAAACAGTAATGTTTCTGCACAAGCCGTGGTGGTTCCTGCAAAAATGGCGCTCTAGATGAGCCCAATCTGTGAAAGTGTGGTTCTGTCACTAGCCTCTGACTGATCGTGCATCCTCGCTACCTAGCCACAGGAATATCCCTTTGGCCGACTGGTCATTGCGCATGACTTTCTTCCAGGAGAGTCAGTAATGAGACAAAATGTGGGCCAGTCTCAAAAACTCAACACCTAAAATCAGTGAAGAACTTGTTCAGGTACAGTTAATTTGATTCACCTTTTTGAATAGCCACCCTGGGCATCTTCTCCATACACAAATCCATCAATGTGCATAAGCACTAATAAAAAAAACTGGTTTAAATTCCTTAGCAAGCTCAACTGTTATTTTATTGCTTCACCATCTTTCATTAGGTGTTTCCTGAAAAGAGCTGTTGGGTCATAGCGGTTTCTGTGTTAGCCTTGAGCCAGTGGCTGCCACAAGAGACCGTGGAGATGATACCCAACAGAGCGTACCCACTAATAATAGCCTCCCAAACAGCCTTGGCATATTTCAGGTCAGAGTATTAACATAAAGGTGGCCACAGATGCCACTTGCTTGGGAACGGACTGCCCTTTACAAGAGCACTCAGACTAATCCTTATTATTCATAGAATAAAAGGCAGAGTGGAAAATCATATATGCTGCAAACAGTGAGGGTTGAGAGGAAAAACGCATTTTGTATATCCTGTGGCTTAACCTGTTCTCCTGTTTTTTTAAATTTTTTTTAAAGGTTAAAACGTAGAACCTGTAGTTTTTGTAATCAATGCTTATGTTACAAAAAAAGTGATTCACCGCCTCAAAAAGTATTTATATCCCTTAAATTGTCTACAACATGGTATTATGTAACTGTTAACAGAATCCATTGGAACCAATGCCCTTTCAATATCGTCACAATAGCAGGTATTATCCAGTAATTTAATCCTACTATTTCTTTGAAGGTCTTAAAAGTTAAGGCTAAAATATAAACAATACCCCAGTCTTTAAGAAACTCATGGATGGGGTCAAAATAGTAAGAGAGTGAGACACAACAAACCAACCGAGAAATGCCTTCATGTCTAACCAAAGGCCCATAGAAACCACTGGGGAGCTGCAGAGATCAACAGTTCCAACAGGAGAATCCCTTCACAGCACAACTAACAGTCATGTTCTCTACAAAAAAAAAAAAAAAAAAATGTTTTTTTTTCTGACAGAATGAAAAGAAAAAAGTAACTGATGAAAGAGGTCAGTGAGATATCCCATTTTCATTTACCACAAGGCCCGTAGAGGACACAGCAAACACGTAGAAGAACACGGTGAGTCCAAAACTGAACTTTTAAGTCTTTAGATCAAAGTAAAAGACCTAAATCCAACCCAAGACTCTGAAACAACAGTTGAAAGCTGACATACACTCTCCCTCTGAAGTTGACCTGTTCTGCAAAGGACAAGCATCACTAAACTCAGTCTGTAGATGCACAAAGCTAACGGTGAGATATGCAGAGAAAAGACTTCAAGGGGTAACTGCAGCAAAACAAGGTTCTAGAAAGTTTGACCAGATGGGCTGAATACAAATTGAATTGCTATACTCTCATTTACAAAAAAAAAAAAAAAAACTACAAATATGCATTGCTTTCTGCTGGCCTGTCACATTAGATTACATGGATCAAATATATAGAGAGGGATTTAGGAATACCTCTGAAAGGCATTGTTATAATTATAAAGTTCTCCTAACAGTCTAGACAACAAATAATCAGAAAAGTTACAGAAGGAAGCTGGTTAACCTATCCATCTTAACTCTCCACAAGGGTTTGACACACCCTAAAAACCTAATTCATCATCAGTTTAAATTCAAAGATGCCATAATCGATGTCAGGATGGTATAGGTCTAAGTGGCTTAGTGCCAATGACGTCTATCAAAGAAGTGATGACAGCAAAGGGACCAGCAGACCAGGAGGAAGTACTGGTAACCGGATTCTCCTGTGTTCCAAAACGCCCTCACACTCTGGCAGGAAGCAACTGAGAGATGAGCTGACCATATGTCGAGGCCGGAATTTCTCCAATATGCAGCACATTGAAAAAATCAGTGTCTGCAACAAAAAGTGAAATACATTCATATACATTTGGTCAGCTCGCAAAATACCAGAACTGGTTTGGTGGCACGCTTCTTACTTAGTTTTTATCAGAAAATTGATTCCTTCTCATTCAGATGTCTAAAATAAGTGGGAATTAAAAGGGATATATTTATATGGCATCTAGTAAAGTATGTTCTGATGCTCTTCCAAAATGATCAATGTAAAATATAGTTTATGTACAAAATGACATAAATTTTCAACTTACCCAATTCTAAATAATACATAAATAAAATTCAAGATGATGGTGATAAAAAGAAAACAAAGGAAAGAAAGAGCATCTCCGTGTTTTTTGAAGTAAATGATACTCATGTGGATATCAGATGATATATCTAAAATGATGGACCTCATCTTGTTTTCTTCTTGGCTCTGCATCAGAATAATTATTGTGTCATGGTTGAAAAAGTCCCTGCATTCAGCAACCACAGAAGGAAAAGACAGATTTCATTTGAAAGGGGGTTTCCGTCGTATTTCTCTCAAGGTATAAATTTCAGATGTCAACAACAGTTTAAAGATCCTTCAACAGCATTGCCACAGAAAATTTCTGGCCGACTCCATCAGGCTAATATTTAAATGTATGCTTAAAGAAAGGAAGTCTGTTAGATGTAAAGGGTTTTGATTTATAACCATCCGTCACACTAAACAAGACATTTGTTTAAACCTCTTTCACTTTATTGGATCAAACATTGCTTCTAGTAACTTAGTGTCTGAGAGAAACTGTGTTTTTTTTATACAACTTGCAGATTAAATTAATTTTGCAAAGATGTTTATTCTGACTGGAAGTGATATAAACTTTTTGTCATGAGGAACAAGAAATCCCAACTAATATTTGACTGAGAATGGGTGGTTTTAGCAAGCTACAATTTAGAGAAAGCCAGACTTGGAGCTTTCTGTAAAAGAAGAGAACCAAAAGAGGACATGCAAAACACAGGCCAGCAATAATTTTATTTAGTTGAATGATAAAGTTTTATATTTTCTCATTTAGAGGCTAATCACAGGGAACATATTGCTTAGAGGCCTGAGTTGCAGGGATCCAACTCTTTTGCAACAATAATAAGCTTGTAGCCACTACCTCTGAGACTGACAGACACTTATAATACTTGTCAAGATCGTCACCCGAGACTCCTCTACAAGACTAACATCCAGTGACCACAGCTCCAACACCGTGCCAAAAATCACTCAGATAGCCAAAATTCAATTAATCAAAAACACACGTAGCGGCCCCAAATTTTGCATTGCTAATGAAAGCCAACAACACTGAATCAGCAGAAGTCATTAGCAAAACTCTGATCATATATTTGCAGCTGACCACTTAAAATCCTCTAGGGGTTAAGAAAAAAATCGATCTGAGCTCAAATCGCGTTTCTAACATTTAAAGATTCAGAATTGATTCTCATTTTCTTTAACAACGATTTTTTTTGTGGGTGCGGATGTGCCTTATCAAGCACCGTAGTGTTTGGCGAAACCAATGAGCAGCGTGAGCTATGCACAGGCATGCAAACATTAGCCTAGCAGGCTACAAAGTGGTGTGTAGTGTTGTGTGAGCTACTGTGTTTGTTGCCGCAAA